GTCGAATTGAGATTGCTATAACGAGAAATCTCTTCTTGGTTGCTTAGTCCCCTCTTGTATAACTTTTATATTTTGGACTCTTGGAGTCCAAGTAGGAGTTTCCTAATCACTCTCCTAGCTGATAAGGAAAGCTACAAATTAGGAAAAAAAAATCCTAACCATCTTAGGATAAGGGAGTTTTAGTTAGTTTCTTACTTCAATCTTAAGTTTCCAACAAACTAACTACCTAATCAAACTAGTAAGTTAGAAAAAAAAATTTCTCCCAAGTAATCTTATTCTCTTATAACTTTGACTAGCTATTAAGCCTTAGGGTTCAGCCAACATTCTAAAGTACATGGGTCGAATTCACTAGGTCAAACTTAGTGAATCATCTCATCACTAATTAGGCCTAATAAGTGACATAAGTTTGACCTGGGTTTCAACCATCCTATGAGCCCAAACCCAATAGCTTAAACTAAGAAACGCCCATCAGGTTATTAGCCCAACAAGATATTTGCAGTTAATTTCTTAGCCAAACAATATGCAAACATGGTCAATAGGGAAGGACCTCTTCCCTGAATGTAAGATGTAGTGTCATACCCTCCTCCACTCATATAGATCCTGGGACAAACCATTTTTCAAACTCTTTATCAAAGTAAACTATTTATCAATATTTGTACATTTTGCAAAACTAATTTTAAAACAAGTAGAAATCCGCTATTAGTAGTTTTAGGTTTCTATCAAAGAGGGTATACTCCATGATATTTTCTTTGTTTGAAAAAGTAGGTGATCCTATGATATAATCATTCACTCAAGAACCTTCCCAATCTGTTCCTATATACCTAGGTATTTGACCCCAGAAGGATTTCACTTGTTGGAATATCAAAAGAAGGTTGGTCCAATACTTAGTGCAGTATCACCACCAAGTTAGTGGATTAAGTGCAACTTTCTTATTTTACCCCTCTATTTCTAAGGTCCAGGGTTAAATTGAAAATAGTCATATTTATTGCTTTTTAAACACCTATTCCTTGTACCTTAGGTTTAACCCTAGAAGTTGACACAATCTCCACCAATCCAGCAATATAGGAGTATCAGACGTGATATAATTAACTTCTCAAATTTATCATTTGGCTAAGAATATTTAAGCTTACATAAGTTTCATAAATGTACAACTAGGGGATAATTCACAAAAAACACACCATAATACACATAAAATAATAATGTATTAATTTTATTCAGTAATAAATGTTAATATGCATTAAATTGATGGAATTGGGGGTATACATTGGTTAATATCTCCAACTTGCACTTAGGTTCAATCAATTATAAGCCATGGTCTCATATTGTCAACATGTTTCTCAAAAACTTTGTGTTATTGGCTTAGTCAGTTGGTTTATCACATTCTTTGTTGGTGCTACTTTTTGAATTTAGATGTCTCATCTTCCATACCATATGGTATTTCCTCTCAATGTGCTTAGATTTTGAGTGGGATTTTAGTCCCTTTGGCCTATGTAATGGCTCCAATGTTGTCATACAATAGTGGAATGGGTGTGTGTTGATAGGTATGACACCCAATTTTTGGACAAACTTCTTTATCCAAATTGCTTTTTTTGGTAGCATATCACTTGTGGCAATGTACTCAGCTTTGGTCACTGGCTACTCTTACAACTACTATACAAGAATCCAACAAGAGGATGTATCTTGATGTAGATTTTTTATTTGAGTATATTTTTTATGGTAGTCTAGTGATTCTACCTAAGGTTGGACTAATATCTACTTATTATACTGATAACCTGTATGATGTTAGGGCGAGTGCACTACATAATATACATGAGGCTCCCAATAGAAAAAGCATGGGAATCTTCTTCATGTCCTTGATCTACTTAGGACTCTTAGGTGACATGTCTTTGGAGAGAGTGACCCCATGTTTGAAAGGGACAAATCCTTTCTTAGAGTCCTACATGTACATTTTCATGATCTTATCAATGTAAGTAGACTGTGATAGTCTTAGGATCTGCTTCAAAATATTTCTATAGAGTTAAAGCCCCAAAATATAAGAATTTTCTCTAAGATCTTTGATAGAGAACTACTATTAAAGTTATGCCTTTATTGATCTACGTCATTCCTAATGAGCAAGATGTCATCAATATAAAGTATTCAAAAAGCAACATTGTCTTCCATTATCTTTATGTAAATATAGGGTATTTGAATTTTGCTCAAAGTCAAAATTATTTGACCATCAAGTTAAATTTGATGTTCCAGCTTCTAGAATCTTGCTTTATCCCATAGATTGGCTGGTTTGGTTTGTACACCTTGTGTTCTTAACTTTTAGCAATAAAGCCTTTTAGTTCTTGCATGTAAGTATCTTTTATAAGATCTCCATTTAGGAACACTATATTGACATTCATATGTCATATCTCATAGTCATAGTGAGTGAAAATGGCCAAGAGTATTCTAGTGGACTTTATCGGGGCCACATGGGTGAGAATGTTTCCTCATAGTTAATACCTTATTTCTATGTATAACCTTTTTCCACAAGCTGAGCTTTGTAGGTCTTAACTTTTCCATTAGAGTTGTTCTTCCTCTATTTTCTTTAACCCCAAGAGCAAATAAACAAATTTTGAAACTCTATTGCTCTTCCTTGAGTGCATCTCAACTTTCATGGCATCTACCCACTTCATGGAATTTATGTCTAACATAGTTTCGATATAAGTATGGGGATCCTCCTCAATGTCCTTGATTTCCATCAAGATTGTTTCTTGATCGTAGTCATATTGAATAGAAGGCCTTGATACCCAACTAGATCTTTTAGGCTAGAGAGTGGGAGCAATATCTAGAACTTGTGAAATTTCTTCTTTAATATTTATTTTTATTATATTTTTAATTTTTGGAATTAAAAATAAAAAACAGTTATTCATATTTTCTTGTGATCTATCTGATGATGCGCGATCTGGAAGCTCCTAACTGGAAGGTTGCCTGGATGTTGCTTGCATGGTGAGCTGGGTCAAACTACAAAACAGAGATCAGAGAGACTGGGGTGGGTGACCTGGTGAGGTCGCTCTAATGCTTAAGTTAGTATTCTTGCTGTGGTTGCGAGCTAAAATCTTGAATGCTAGAGAGCTTGTATGTAAATAATCGTGCATAACTGGGTGTTGAAGGGGTTGTTGCCCTTATATAGTTGAGTTGCTGTGGATCTAACGAAACGACTCCGAGATCTTTGGCCTGGGTAGATGAGATCTGTTTCCTCTTTAGACGGGGAGTAACGTATCAGTCAACGAAGTCTATCATTGCCAACCGATCTGGGCGGGTAGAGGATAAGGCCTACCATTACGCGGTGTGATCCTAGGAGGTTCGGAGTCCGCTGAGAAGCTTCTGGAGTCGATTACGTGCCACTTCGGTCCCTGGGCCCTGAACTGGCTTTGGTGTTGAGGTGCCTTTATACTGAGGTGACTCTATGCCGAGGTGGCTTTGTACCGAGGTGATCGAACACCCGAGCTCTGAAATCTGCTGACTAGGCTCCTCTTGCTGAGTTATCCTATTGGCAGATCGCGTCCACGTAACCTTTGCTTTCTAGGTTGTGCCAAATTACCCCTCATCAATTTTCCCCCACTCCTCGTGCCAGGGGTCCTAACCCAGCGTGGGGAGTTCATGATGAGCCCAGGTGGATTTGGCATGATGTCTAGGTGGTATGGAGGACGGACCTTCGGTTGGACCTATTTAACCATTTGGCTCGACCAGGAAATGACCCAGATCGCGTTTCAGGTATGCGCGGATGTCAAGTCGATTATAAACTTCGTGGACGTCAAAATGTGCGCTCAACTGATTTCAACCTCGGGTAGCATACAACTGGTTTTCCTAGGAACCGTTGGATCACGTAGATCTCGACCATTGATCCCCGAATATAATGGCTATAAATAGGGCCGGAGGGCCCATTTTCTTCACCACAAACCGTGAATCTAAAGTCCTTGAGGTCGCGTTCAAGTATCCCAGCTCAGTGTCAGTTATTCCTGAGTCTGAGGTTGTTTTCATTTCTTCAGTCTTCTTTAATGAGTTCTCTTCCTTTGCTTTTGATTCCATTGTCCTTTCCATCAACATGTCTAGTCTTAGCTTAGATAGCCTTTTAGACGGGAGCGGTGAATCCGTTGGGGCCGAGGTGAGTACTTCGACACAGACTGTGGAGCCTCGTCTTGCCGAGGTAGGCACTTCGGCATAGGATGTGGATTCCAACCCGTTCGAGGCAGACTCACCTCGGTGAGAGCGAGAAGCCTCTAGCAAATCAGCCTCCACCTTACACCGAGGTCGCCTGCCGAACAGCTTTGGTCCGTCTACAATGACAGCAGACAAGCTCCTGTCTTTAGTAGCTCGGTACAAACTCCCTAATAACTTTGAATACATTATTCCCTTAGGCACATTTCCTTGGGATCACGGTCATGACGAGATTGTGGTCTTCGAGGAGCAGCTCGTAGTCGGGCTGCGTCTTCCACTCCACCCTTTTATAGTCAAACTTGTTAAGTTTTTTGATATCGCCATAGACCAGCTACATCCGAATTCCATCCACAACATTGTAGGTACCATTTCCCTTTTCCATGATTATAACCGACCCTTAGACCTCGACATCTCCTCTTCGATCCTCTCCATCAAGAAGAACTTGGCCTGTGTTCTACCTGAGCACTGACAAAGTTATTACATGTCTCATCACCCCGGGTACAAGCTGTTGCATGAACTCCCAAACAAAGTCTCGACTTGGAAGAGACGTTACTTCGTGGTCCGTGACACTGAGGGGTGGTCATTCCCGACTCATTGGAGGGAAACCATCCAGGACCCTGGTATCAGATTGGACCCAAAGACATAGGAGGAGGTTCGATCTTGGGCAAAGCTCAGCCTAAAGTTTGAAAACTTCATGACCGAGGAGAAGCTCGAACAAGCTTATCTAAGTCCTCCTGGTAGGTCGCCAATTGTTGTACCTGTTTTCTTTGTTTTGTTTTACTTTGATGTTGCATCTAACTCGATTCATCATCTTTTTGCAGCTGCCATGGATGACATTCCCGCCAATGAGCTCTTCAGAAGCATGCAAAAGGGGAAGAAGAAGAAGAGGGCCTCTAAGAAGGCTCACCTCCACATTGACACCACCACCTCCGACGTTGGCACCTCCGTCCCTAAGCACCCACCAGTCGCCGAACAGCCTCCTGTGATTGACTTGGTTGAGGAGGACCAAGGCAAGGCTACTCCGCCTCGCGTGCCCAAGGAGACCACATCTTCCGAGCCCTAGCACGTGCAGGCGACCATCACTCTGTCGAGTAGCGATACTTCTTCTTGGAGCATTTTGACTCCGAAGTTTGGCCTCCTCAAAAGCAAGGATGTGGTATTCACCGAAGAGGTCGCTCGTTAGGCTGACTTACTGATCACTCAGCTCGGGGCCAGAGCAGCAATGCATTGCATGGTGGTACATACTTAACCTTTAGGCTTCTTTATACTTGGATTTTCTTCATACTTATACTTGTTTTCTTCTTTTGGCAGGTGAGCTCCTCGATCCATGCCCTGGCCTACCAGTCCGAGGTGAATTTAAAGCAAGCTCTCGAAGTCGAGGAATCCTCCCGAAGTGCCCACTCCGAGCTTAACTTGGTTCACAACGAGATCAACCAGCTGAAGAACGACGCACGAGCCAAGAAGGAGCTATTGACTCTGCAGATGGCGGAGGAACTGAAAGTGGAGAAGGAGCTAGTGGAGAATGAGGTGACTCTGAAGAGAGAGAACGAGAACCTCGAGGCGTTGGTGAAGGAGTGGACTGAAATTCTACTCCAAGCGATGGAGGATGCCAAGATCAAGGCGGTTGAGGAATACAAGTCTTCGGCGGAGTATCATGAGAAGTTGGTCGAGGTCAGGACAACGAGCTACCGTAAGGGGTTTAAGCTCAGCAGATGGTTGACTCGACGTGAATTTCCCCACCTTGACCTCATTGTTGATTCAAGGAAGAGAGTGATGACGGCCTTCTCGACGATGAGACAACGGAAGTGGGAGAGGGAGTTGATGCCACCGAGGACCACATGGAGATCGATCTACCCGCTGACACCTCTGTTGGGGATGAGGAGCCCTGAACCGATTGATGCCTCTTTTCTTGGACCCCCTTTGTAAATACTTGATGTCCCGAGCCTCCGAGCTCGGATAAATAGTTGTAATATTTTTGTTGTTTTTTTATGTACTCAAAGTACTTTATCAATGGAATACAAGTATTTTGCAAAACTCTTTGTGTGCAAAAAAAATTTCTAAGTATAGATTACTCCCAAGATGGCAAGCTAAACGTAATAGGAATAATCTAATCGTTATTCTACACCGGGGTGAACAGACACTGTAGGGTACATGCCCGACCTTTCTGTGCCCGGGCTACTTCGCCTTGCCCATGCTAAAGCAACTGGCAAAAAATTTTTCTAAGTATAGATCACTCTCGAGCTAGCGATCTAAACCAAATAGGAATAATCTAATTGTTATTGTACGTTGGGGTGAGCAAATACTACAGAGTACATGCCCGACCTATCTGTGCCCGGGCTACTTCACCTTGCCAATGCCAAAGCGATTGAGTTTTAACGAGCTCGTGTTGAAGAGGTGACCGGGTCTTAAGCTGCATATGCCGAAGAGGCAACTAGGACTTCTTTGCCCATGCTAGAGAGGCGACTGGGTCTTATATCATGCCGAGATTTGTTGTCAACTTGGCATCATAGCCCTTAGGTTTCTGGGAGTGACTTAAGGTTCTCTCTCCTTAGGTTGTCAACGTTCCAAGCTCGAGATACTTGTTTCCCTTCCATGGTCTCGAGCCCATAGGTTCTTTCTCCGAACACCTGTCTCACCTGGTAAGTTCCTTCCCAATTCAGACCGAACTTACCCACGCCAGGCTCATGTATCATCATCTTACAGAGGACTAGGTCATCAACTCAGAATAACCGCTTCCTGACCTAGGCATTATAATACCTAGCTACTCGCTACTGGTAAGCTACAATTTGAATGTGGGCCAGATCGCGTACCTCCTTGATGAGGTCCAAGTTAGTTCTGAGTTCGTCGTTGTTTGTTTCTTTGTTGTAAGCTTCGAGCTACAACGTCGATACTTCAATCTCTGTCGGGATCATGGCTTCCGTCTCATATGTGAGGTTGAAGGGTGTCTCGCCGGTTGCGATCTTGATGGTAGTCCGGTAGGCCCAAAAGACACTGGGTAGTTCATCAACCCACAACCCTTTAGCTCATGCAAGGCGAGTTTTCAGTCCATGGAGGATAGCCCTGTTCGTCACTTCGGTCTGTATGTTTGCTTGTGGATGCACTACCGAAGTGAAGCTTTGTTGAATCTCAATCTCGGCGCACCAATTCTGGAATTTGATGTCCTCGAATTACTTCCCATTATCCCGACTTTGGGCAGTTTGAAACGACACATGATGCTTCTCTAGAAGAAATTTTGCACATTCCAAGCTGTAATGTTTACCAACGGTTCGGCTTCCACCCACTTCGTAAAGTAGTCCATTGCCATGACCAAGAACTTCCTCTACCCGGTTTCTGGCGGAAAAGGATCGAGGATGTTGATTCCCCACTATGTGAAGGGCCACGGGCTAGTAAGATACTTCAAATCAGCAACAGGTTGATGGAGGATGTTGGCATGCCTCTGATATCAGTCGCATTTCTTGGCGAGCTCAAGTGCGTCTGCCTTCATTGTGAGCCAATAGTAGCCCTACCTTAATGCTTTTTAGGCGAGTGCTCTACCCCCCAAGTGTCCTCCGCATAATCCTTCATGGATATCGCGAAGTACAAACTCAACTTGAGGGTCATAGGCAACCTAGGTAGGGGAGCGTAAAGGATCTTCTGTATAGTCGTCCGTTTATAAGGATGTACCGGGCTGATTGACGCTTTACCCTCCAAGTTGCATTGTGTTCTGTAGGTAGGGTCCCGTGGAGCAGATAATCAACGAGTGGGTTAGTCTTGCTCGGTTTCACTTGCAACATGGGAGCGACCTCTTTTGTCCCCTCGAGAATGCTGGGTCGAGGCAGGTCCTCTATGTACACAGTTCGAATGGTGTTATCACTAGTACTTGCAAGTCGTGATAAGGCATCAACCTCAGCATTCTTGGACCTCGGAATTTGCTTGATGAAACAAGAGTTGAAGCCTGGTAGGATCTCCCTTAATTTGGTTAAGTAGGCTGCCATAGTCGAGTCGTGTGCTTTGTAGTCGCCATTGACTTGGTTAACTACCAGCTATGAGTCACTGCACACGATGAGGTGTTTCATACCCATTTCCTTCACTAAGTTTAGCCTAGCAATTAGTGCTTCATACTTTGTCTCATTGTTCGATGCCTCGAATCTGTACCGGAGAGCATACTCCAGCTTCACCTCGTTCGAGTCGTACAGTATTAGTTCAACACATCTTTCTCGCTAGTTGGACGAGCCGTCTACGTGGAGGATCTAGCTTGTTCTAGGTCGATACTGCTCTGACCGGGACTAGTGCCACGTTGGTTAATGCCTCCGATACGTTAGCAGGCTCAGTCGGTTCAGGGACCAGTGTGCTGAATGTACATTTTGCTATGAAGTTCGCCAAGACTTGGACTTTGTTTGCTGGTCGTGGCTCGAACTAGATGTCATACTCGCTAAGCTCGATGGGCCACTTCGTCAATCTCTCTAACACCTCGGGCTTAAGTAGGATGCGCCCCAGAGGTCTATTAGTAAGGATGACGATGGTATGGGCTTGGAAGTATGGATGTAATTTTTGAGCTGCTACTACTAGTGCGCTCGCCAGTTTCTCGATGTCGGGATATCTGGTTCCGCGTCCTGTAACACTTTACTTACATAGTAGATGGGTTGTTGGACCCGGTCTACTTTTCTAATTAGTACCGAGGTGACTACCTCGTCACTCGCGGAGAGGTATAGCTTCAACTCATCTCTTTCCTCAAGTTAGGTTAAAATTGGGGTGGTACTTAGGTACCTTTTCAGCTCATCAAACGCGAGTTGGCATTCTTCGGTCCATTTGAAAGTTTCATTCTTCTTAATTTCCTAAAAAAAGGTGAGCACTGACTTGTCGATTTAGACATAAATCGGTTTAGGGTAGCTACCCGGCCAGTCTAGTCTAAGATAGCCTTGATTTTATCTGGATTGGCTTCGATGCCACGACGGTTCACTATGTAACCAAGGAATTTGCCTGACGTGACCCCGAAGACACACTTGTTTGGGTTTAACTTCATATTGTATTTCCTTAGAATTTGAAAAACAACATTTAAATCATCGATTAAAGATCGAGAAAATTGGGTCTTCACGACCATGTCATCAACATAGCATTCCACTTTATTACCAATCAACAGTTCAAAAATTTTGTTTACAAGCCGCTGAAAAGTTGCTATAGCATTTTTCAAACCAAAGGGCATAACTTTATAATAGTACAACTCGAGTTTGGTTACAAAAGCAGTTCTATCTTGGTCGGCTGTGTCCATCCTAATTTGGTTGTAGTTGGAGTAAGCTTCCATGAAACTCAACAATTCATGCCCTGAGGTCATGTCTATTAGGTGGTCAATTCTGGGCAGGGGGAAGCAATCCTTTGGGCAGACTCTATTCAGGTCGGTCTAGTTAACGCACATGCGCCACTTGCCATTGGCTTTCTTCACAACCATGAGGTTGGCGACCCAGCTCGAGTAATGAACATCCTTGACGAAGTCTGCGGCGAGGAACTTCCTGACCCCCTCATCGGCTACGCTCCACCGCTCCGGGGCAAGGTTGCATTTTCTTTGTCTAACTGGCTTGACTAAAAGGTCCACATTAAGTTTATGAGTTATCACACTAGGGACGATTTTGGGCATTTCTGCCACGAACCATGTGAAAACATATAAATTATTAAGTAAGAAATTTACTAGTTGTGTTTGGAGCAGTTCTCTTATTAGTGCACCGATCTGGAGAGTCTTGGTCGGCTCGGCCTCTGAAACTGATACATGGATTGTCTCTTCCATCGGGGCAGCTTGCTCCTCGATGTAGTCTATTGGTTGCTCCAGTTCGACGTCTTTTGCTAGTTTTGCCTTCCCTTTGAAGGCAGCCTTATAGCACTTGCGGGATTCGAGCTGATTGCCTTATATGATCCCTACTTTGTAATCTGTCGGAAACTTCATCACAAGATAGTAAGTTGATACTACCACGTGTAAAGCATGTGTAATGGGTTAACCTATAATTGCATTGTAGGGGGCAGAGTTGCGAGTACCAAGAAGGTGTGCACAAATCGTACAATATTTGGCTACGTGCTCGCCCCCATTGGAACTGTAACCCGACCTATAGGCCTAACTTCTTCTCTATTGAACCCTATTAGTGGGGTATCCGTTGGTTTTAGGTTGCTTTGCTGTAGTTGTAACTTATCAAAGGTTCCTTTGAAGAGGATATTGGCCAAACTGCCTGAGTCTACCAAGATCCGCTTCACCTCGAAGTCATTGATGATCAACTCTACAACTAGGGCATCGTCATGAGGATACTGAATCCCACGAGCATCATCCTCAGTAAAATAAATGGGTTCTTTGATCCAAGGTCGCTTGGGTGGGTTCTCTGCCTTGTGCTTTAGTTCTTGGACTGAAGTCTTTCCTATTGCTGCTGTGCACACTGCTACAATGAATCCTCTAGTGATCATGTTGATCACCCCATGGATCGGTTTTTCTTCTGGTAGCGGGCGAAGTGGTTGCTCGTTCTGCCTGCTGCTTTCCAGGGCGTCTTTTTACTGATCTCTCTATCGGTCCCCCTGTCCTTTCTTCTCATGCAAAATGTATTTCTTCAAGTACCCGCGACGGATAAGTACCTCGATCTCATCATGGAGGTTTCTATAGTTCTCCGTGCTATGACCATGGTCCCGATGAAAGTGATAATAAACACTTGGGTTTCTGGTTGTTGGGTCTCCCCGTAGCTTGGGTGGCCATTTGATGATGGAGGAGTCTTTAATCACCATCAAGATCTCTCCTTGCTTTGCGTTAAGGGGAATATAGTTGGTTCTGTCCATTGGCGGGGTCCTGGAACACCGACCCGACTTGTAACTTCGTGATGAGGACTTACTCCTCAAGCTCGGGGACTTGCTCTTTTTCCTTTTCTGCTTATTGCTCATTCCCTCTTCCTCTCTCTTTCTCTTTTCACCTTGCTGGTTGT